ACAGTTAATAGTTATTGATTGGTATTTGTAGAATAATTAGTTATTATTTTGTTTATCATTTAGGAACGCGCCAATTTCATCACCACAATTTTGATATATTAACACTTTATTTTGAATTCACTAGTTGAAGTTTGTTTTCACACACATTTTTTTTATTATTTTATTATTGACTTTGGAGTAGGTATTGTAATTAGCTGCCACAAAATCAAGAGATATTAATTATTGGTTATCTTCCTGATATGTAAAAGCACTTTTTAATATTTATTGATTTTATTTTAAATTGTAACTTACATTATTGGGTGTTGATATTTTTAATCTGTCTTTGTTGGCGGTTCAAACAAAACTAACTCCCGCTCAATAATAATCATTGATGATTATTCGACCCTTAAATATTGATCATGATTCGACCCTTATTGTCAGATAAGGGTCGATTTATAAAAGTTTTATATATAAATGGTACCAAAATACAAGATTAAATTACAAACATATATTAATGAAAATGTGTTAAACATAAAATATTATAATAAATGCATAATAGTTCTTAACATATATATATATATATATATATATATATATATATATATATATATATGTTTAATTTGAGTTTAATATTCGGGCGTAACATCAATAAAAATAGTATGAGTTTTTTTAAAAAATTTATTTATTTAAAATCCATACGTTTCGGCTAGCATCTTAGCCATCATTCAGTGGTAATCAAGTTAACTATAAAAATTGAAACTAAATAAATTATATGAAAGGAAATTTCATGGAAAAACAATAATAATAATAATAGTAATAAAACACTTACAATTTTGTATCCTAATATAGCATATGAAACCATTATTAATCCATGGTATGAGTATGTGCACATTGATAAGATATGTATTTTTTAACACAAACATCACAAATGGTAAAACACACTAATAATCATGATAACTTGACAAGTTGTCGAAACTATGTATTTACTCTTCGGAGTTTAGGATAGAAATGTCACAACTTTCTCAAAGTAGTTTTTAGCATGTGTTGATATTTTTTGGAAAATTTAAAAGGCGATGGGATTTTGTTATTTTTTAAGGAATTTTGACACGCTATTAAGAAACCTCGTGTTCGCTTCGTTCAGGGCCGTATTGTCAAAGCGTTTGTTTATCACTTTGTCGTTATGTAATTGTAAAAACAACCCCTCAGCGAATCTTCTTTTAATTGTATTCTCTTCAAAATGTAAAATTTTAGGGTTAAAAAAATCGATATTATGATTTAAATTTTTAATATGCTCAGTTAACATTGTTTTAAATTGCTTGGGATTTTTTGAATTATTTTTGTGTTGATTAAGGCGTTTACTCAGGTTTTGGCTAGTTTCTCCAATATAAAAGAGTTCGCAATTAGAGCAATTAATTTGATATACCAAATTCCTGAGGCGGTCAAAATTGAACTTAGATTTAATTTGTGTAAAAATTGAACTAAGGGTTGCATCACAATTACATACCAACAGAATGCCACACTGTTGAAATAGTTTTTTCCACGAGAAATATAAATCTTTTACGTACGGTAGGCAAATGACACCAGTATATGATTCTAAGTCTAAACGGTTTTTATGGTCTGTGAGGTCTTTTTGTTTGTTAAAAATGTAACTGCGTCTGTTATTTATGACCCAGTTGATTATGTTCGTAGGATATGAGTTGTTTTTCAGTGTGTTTATAACCAGGTCAATGTTCGTGTCCCAGAAGTTTTTGTCAGATAGTAATGTGGCGTGGTCTGTTAAATTTATTATTGTCGCTATTTTCATTTTAAGAGGGTAATTTATGTATCGTCCGGAGCTAGTTGGTTTCTGGTACCAGTTAGTAATTAGTCGGTTAGCCGAAACGTATGGATTTTAAATAAATAAATTTTTTAAAAAAACTCATACTATTTTTATTGATGTTACGCCCGAATATTAAACTCAAATTAAACATATATATCAATTTTATTATGGATAACTTTGACTAATACTTTACTTGGTAACTTACTTTCTACTAATAAAAATAATGTATGTGCTTCCTCCGGTAACAAATTTACATGTAACGAGTCACATGCATCAATAAATGCACGTACATTAGTTTCATTTTCATCAAAATTCGGAATAATAGCTAGAGCTAAATTTAAATCTAATTTATTTTCATTACCATTACCGATTGTATTCTCCATCTTGTGATTGAATGGTCCCTTGCCCTTGCTTAGGTACAAGCGTCTCAACTAGATCGCAGATGAATCACTTTTCAAGTTTTGGTTTAATTTCTCATAGATAATATTGATAAAAGTTCGGTAATGCACTTAATTACTCGGTTTTAATACATTATTTTAGTTTTATTTGATGATTTGGAGTACTATTTTATCATAGTTTTGGTTTTTATTTATTACAGTTAATAGTTATTGATTGGTATTTGTAGAATAATTAGTTATTATTTTGTTTATCATTTAGAAACGCGCCAATTTCATCACCACAATTTTGATATATTAACACTTTATTTTGAATTCACTAGTTGAAGTTTGTTTTCACACACATTTTTTTTATTATTTTATTATTGACTTCGGAGTAGGTATTGTAATTAGCTGCCACAAAATCAAGAGATATTAATTATTGGTTCTCTTCCTGATATGTAAAAGCACTTTTTAATATTTATTGATTTTATTGTAAATTGTAACTTACATTATTGGGTGTTGATATTTTTAATCTGTCTTTGTTGGCGGTTCAAACAAAACTAACTCCCGCTCAATAATAATCATTGATGATTATTCGACCCTTAAATATTGATCATGATTCGACCCTTATTGTCAGATAAGGGTCGATTTATAAAAGTTTTATATATAAATGGTACCAAAATACAAGATTAAATTACAAACATATATTAATGAAAATGTGTTAAACATAAAATATTATAATAAATACATAATAGTTCTTAACATATATATATATATATATATATATATATATATATATATATATATATATATATATATATATATATATGTTTAATTTGAGTTTAATATTCGGGCGTAACATCAATAAAAATAGTATGAGTTTTTTTAAAAAATTTATTTATTTAAAATCCATACGTTTCGGCTAGCATCTTAGCCATCATTCAGTGGTAATCAAGTTAACTATAAAAATTGAAACTAAATAAATTATATGAAAGGAAATTTCATGGAAAAACAATAATAATAATAATAGTAATAAAACACTTACAATTTTGTATCCTAATATAGCATATGAAACCATTATTAATCCATGGTATGAGTATGTGCACATTGATAAGATATGTATTTTTTAACACAAACATCACAAATGGTAAAATACACTAATAATCATGATAACTTGACAAGTTGTCGAAACTATGTATTTACTCTTCGGAGTTTAGGATAGAAATGTAACAACTTTCTCAAAGTAGTTTTTAGCATGTGTTGATATTTTTTGGAAAATTTAAAAGGCGATGGGATTTTGTTATTTTTTAAGGAATTTTGACACGCTATTAAGAAACCTCGTGTTCGCTTCGTTCAGGGCCGTATTGTCAAAGCGTTTGTTTATCACTTTGTCGTTATGTAATTGTAAAAACAACCCCTCAGCGAATCTTCTTTTAATTGTATTCTCTTCAAAATGTAAAATTTTAGGGTTAAAAAAATCGATATTATGATTTAAATTTTTAATATGCTCAGTTAACATTGTTTTAAATTGCTTGGGATTTTTTGAATTATTTTTGTGTTGATTAAGGCGTTTACTCAGGTTTTGGCTAGTTTCTCCAATATAAAAGAGTTCGCAATTAGAGCAATTAATTTGATATACCAAATTCCTGAGGCGGTCAAAATTGAACTTAGATTTAATTTGTGTAAAAATTGAACTAAGGGTTGCATCACAATTACATAGCAACAGAATGCCACACTGTTGAAATAGTTTTTTCCACGAGAAATATAAATCTTTTACGTACGGTAGGCAAATGACACCAGTATATGATTCTAAGTCTAAACGGTTTTTATGGTCTGTGAGGTCTTTTTGTTTGTTAAAAATGTAACTGCGTCTGTTATTTATGACCGAGTTGATTATGTTCGTAGGATATGAGTTGTTTTTCAGTGTGTTTATAACCAGGTCAATGTTCGTGTCCCAGAAGTTTTTGTCAGATAGTAATGTGGCGTGGTCTGTTAAATTTATTATTGTCGCTATTTTCATTTTAATTTATGTATCGTCCGGAGCTAGTTGGTTTCTGGTACCAGTTAGTAATTAGTCGGTTAGCCGAAACGTATGGATTTTAAATAAATAAATTTTTTAAAAAAACTCATACTATTTTTATTGATGTTACGCCCGAATATTAAACTCAAATTAAACATATATATCAACATCAAATTCAAGACTATTCAAAAAAAAATATATATATATATATATATATATATATATATATATGAGATAAGCTACTTCATTTTAACTTAGCTTGATTAAGTTTTGTTTGTAAACATATATAAACGTCGTTGTCCAATATATAAGCTCTTACTTTTTATTTATAAAATACGAATGATGAAAATTACAATATTTATAATAATTTATTTAGAAACATTTGAGATTTCTCGGATATTTTATTACGGTACAGGAAGTTTCAGGTATTTGCCTTAAAGCACGATGTCATACACCACTAATTTTATTCAAGTTACGTGTAACACTGAATGTGACAATATATTTTTCTGAAATTTGCAAAAGCTATGAGTATTTTATCAAATATCACTATTATAAAAATAATCTAATTTAAACACAAATCAAAATTTTCTTATTGATTCATAGTTTTAAATGAATCAATTGAAATAATTATTGATTTTTGGTTTCTGTTATTTACTTCCTTTCACGTTTCATATTATTTTTATGTTGATTTTAAATAATAATTTGTTTATTAATTTAAAACAGAAAATATCAACGAATATCAACTCAAGTCTTAACCATATGCCATTAGTTATATTTAAAAAAAAACATTCAATTTTTGTTGCAGGAAACGTGGTACTTCGAATTTGGAATGGCAGGAAATTTATAAATCAGCAAAAATGTTTCTCCATTGCTTAAATCGCTATAACTTTGATACTCCTACTTCCTTCAACGAAAGCAGACCTTACAGTTCTCCGGAGCAACAGGGAAATTATAAATTACAATACATGAGGTATGCATGGATATCTGAAATATAATTGAATTATAATGTTTTTTAACACTAAACATACCAACGATGGTCTAAATGACCGTTTCAATCTTTGTGTGTAACGGTTTTATCATTTTTTAACATTATCTATATGACAATTCTTAGAACATACTAATAATATTTTCTTTACTCTTTGATTTTAATTATTTTTTCAATTTCTCGAAAAAAAAATGTTATGCGCTCTAACTACAGCGGCTCAATTTGACCAGTGGATAATGTTATTTGAAAGGTAGTTTTCGTCGAAATGTAGGTGCAGATTTATACAAAATATGCCAAATTCTGGGCGGAGTGTGAAGTCAATAGTTAAAATATTATAATTAGGTTTCTCAATTTGGGAAATGACAAAAGAAAACTAATAAATAATTCACAAATTTTAAAGAAATTCGTATAAATAAAATTTTATTACCCTCATGCTGTAAAAAAGCAAACCGAGAAAAAGCTGGTCCCAAGTTTCAAACATTATTCAATAAAATATGAGAAAGCAGCTAAAGTATTCCGAAAATTATTAGAATTTGTATTAGTACATTGTTTCTTGAAAATGTGGTGGACTAGATTGCTAACAAATGTAACATGAAGTCGAAAATTTGTAGTTGGTATATTTCAACATTTTTATCCTAGTTGGATAAAAGTGTAAATTGTGTATAGAGAGTAAAAGCATTTTAGGAATGAATTTTTGTTTTAGTTGTTATATATAATTTTTTAACTCGGCGATGCATATTTAAAATCTCAAAAAATTCAAGTTTTTATCAATACTGTCCATAAGTTCGGTTTTGTGTGAATGAAATACTTGTCAAATTTTGTAAAAGTTACGAAACAACAAATATATTTGCTTCAGATGAACAATACAGATTAAAATAATTGGTAAACAACATAAGAAAGGCGAATAAAATATATTATTCATGCATGACATTCTGTATAAAAATTTAATTTTATTCATCTTTTTCTTATAATTTATTTTAGAAATTATGTATATAAAAGAAATTAAATGAAACTTCATGAAAATTTATTTATTTCATATACATTAAACAATAAATCAATCATTATCTAAATAAATTAATAAAATACATAACTTTTTAATTGTAGGTCATTTTGACCGCGCGCGATAGTTATAGATATACACGAATTGTCGGTAGGTTTAGTGTTAAAGTTAGTTTTCCATTAAGTTTTAAGTTGGCAATTGTTAAGTGATTCTAACGGAGTTTTTATTGTTTATATATATATATATATATATATATATATAAATATTTACATTCTACATATATAAAAACGTTATTTGTTTTTGTGAGATCCAAAAACTCAAAAAGATCACCACTGATTTGGTTTCTGTGAGATCCAAAAACTCTAAAAGATCACCACTGATTGAGCTAAAATTTCAGTATGATATGTAATTCGTATCTAAAATGGTTATTATCTATTTTTTACATTAGTCACATACCCACAAAGGCATTTTATTTTACCCTTTCTTAATGGTAGCGCCGCCTACCGGTGACCACGCCAAACGCCTGATTTTGACATTTGCATAAAAATTAGGAGCTAATTCGGATTACTGTGCTCCAATTACGATTATGCTGGTGGAAAAATCAAATTGCCTCAACTTGAGGCACCACCAGAGCCATTAAAAACGTCACTTGCTGGATCAACTACTGAATCAAAACATTTTCTATCGAACATCAGGAAATATAACAATTGCTTCCAAATGACGTCATTTGGTGCGTAAATTATTAAGGGCAAATATATCACAAAGCTGGCTCTCTTCCCTCATTCCCAGATAGTGACCATTAGTTCTTTCAAATGTACTTTATTAGTGATGATAGAATAGATGAAGTAGATGCACGTTGTGGTATACATACCTTACTAAGAATATCGATTATTTCGCAGCTGCAGAAGCTTCTTCGTGCCAATTATCCTTAGACAAAATATTAATTAGTTGAAACTCTGGCACGCGAGTTGCATTTACGAAATTAGTGAAAAACATATTCGAAGCAAAGACGGGGCCTTTTAACCCCTTCAATTACCAGCCAATATCCAAGTTTACGGGCCCAAAGCGACACTGAGGTCGGTCGCACGCAGTGACATAAACAACTTTGCTCAGCGTTCGAAACTGAACAAATCACAATATTCCTATATGCACGTGTGCGGTACAATTAACTTTGCAAGATGTTTAATAAATAATTACGTTGATTCTTAAATAAAAATAAAAAATTATTATTACAAATATATAAATTCATACATATGATTATAAATTTATATATTTGTGCGAAACGTACAATGTCACTACCACTGTCAGTACTACTGGTAGCAAAATTATCACTGCTTTGTAATTCATCACTAATCATTTTTTAATACATTATAATGGGTAATTTTATTAAAACTTCTTATAAACGATGTATGTATATGCCTCACCAAGTTTCGTCCGGTAGACTTACGACGACTCTAAGGCGTCCTATTCGTGTTTGGGCCGATAACCTTGCGACGACTCTGAGGCGTCATATTTGTGTTTGGGCCTAATACCTTGCGACGCCTCTGAGGCGTCATATTTGTGTTTGGGCCGATAACCTTGCGACGCCTCTGAGGCGTCTTTGTAAGCGAAGGGGTTAAATTTAAAGATGTCTTCATTCCTAGAATACCCATAATTCCGAACGATACTCATAATTCCGAACGATTTGAAGGATGCAATTCCCTGTTCTATTGGCATTTCCAATTCTAATAAATAAAACTCAAGGCCAATCTTTTGAAATATTTGGTTTGAATTTAGATCAGGATTGCTGTTCACATGGACAACTGTATGTAGCGTGTAGTCGAGTTGGCAAGCCAGATAGTCTTGACATTTACGCAGATAGTGGAAAACATAAAAATACTATATATCCACAAACAGTGGCGGCCCACCCATAAAAAAATTGCTTTCGACGCCACTGTTAACAAATCTTGCAGAATTAAACTATTGTGAAATTTATTATTTGTTTTGTTTCCCATCTCTCAACCATTCAATTACCAATGCCAAACAATGTCTCAAATATTTTCAATGTCAAACAATGATAAGCGGCATCTGACAAAAATTTTAATTCACTTATGAGCTAAGACAACATCAGAATATAATATATTTATGATTATGAATAAGAAAAATGTTATGTCTACATTATTAGCGCCGAAAAGCAGCTGAGATGTGCTAAAAATTAAAATAATATAAGATACAGTCATCATGCATCTGACAGGTGGTGCAGTCTGCGCATGCGTCTGACGGTTGTGGAATGTCAGTGATTGCCTATCAACCATACCCTATATAATTCAATTTGCCAGATTATTAATAATTACCCGAAGGAGAAGTTTATGTTTTCATAAAAAATCCGATTTGCTAATTTTTTGTTTTCTCGATGTTTTAAGCCATTCTGAATCGAATGAGACCATATTTGGAAAAAATATGTATGTGTGTGTGTTTATTTATGGGTGTGTGTGAACAGATTGTTTGCCGTAAATCGACGTTTTCCCAACAACGGCTAGACCGATTTGAAAAATTTAAAAGCCATCCGATGAGCCACTTACTTTTAATATATGAAAAATATTGAAATCTTAAGTTTTTTATAAATTGAAATATATTAGTCAGAAGCGTATACGGCGAATGAAAATAATCAATATTAATAATTATTGTTTTATTCGGGGCGTTGGATTTTTTATTATGACTAATGAATATACTTATATACAAGATATAAATAAATTTTGGCTTTTAATAAATATTTCCATACTTATATACAGATTTGTCGAGGCGCGCGATAACGACTCTCGCTCGTCGCTCTTGCAAAGCGACTTTATATGGGTGTTCTTGTACCGGCAGCGCGTGTACTAGCTTAAGTTTTTACAACTTTTCACCCTAAGTTCCACTCACATTTAAATGAATTTTTGAATAACAGAAGAAAAATGTACAGGCTTTCGAATGATGCTAATATAAAAGTAGTCCAAAAAGCCGGACTGGTAGAAAATGGAAAATGAAAAATCATTTTCACCTTTTGACGCACTAACAAATAACTTTTTCACATTATTTGTTATGAACAACATAGACAAGATCAGTATAAATAGAATGACGCTAACATTTTTTCGATATCTCTCATATTTCCGACAAAAGTGAGTTTGAAAAAAAGGGCCACTTTCACATGTTTTCACTGATATCTCGGCCAAATGATAAGCTACGGATTTGAAATTTACTATATTGAAATACCAGGGCCAATTCTGTATGGGAACACGCCCAGACCCTTTATCATTAACAACGGAAACAAAAAAGAAAATAGAATTAAAATTAACATGTTTAAGAATATGAAATAATATACATTTTAAATAGAATTATAATCATTGCATAAAAGGTTTTATTCTATTTACATGAACTTTCAAAGATTTCTTTCCACAAAGCAGAGTATAATTAACAGACGAGTCCTTAGAAATAATTTCATATGGACCAATCCATGGCATAATTAATTTTTTAGATTTTTCTCTATAAATAGTTTCATTCTTTAATAGAACCAGTTTACCAACGTTAAACTCAGTTTTCTTTGAATTTTGATCATAGTATTTTTTGGATAGGTGTTTATTTTGGATGAGGTTTTCTCGGGCGATTTGGTTTGCGGATTGAATTCGATGTTTAAGTTCTTTGGCATAATCGTCATATGTAATATTGGTGATCAGGAGGTTTGTGGAGAGAGGATGGGATTTCAGGGATATGTCCAAAAACAAGTCTGAATGGACTAAAACAAGTGGCTGAATGTGGAGTGGTGTTAAAAAAATGGCATAAGGCAGCCCATTATCCCAATCCTACTGATCGGGTTTGACAAAATTTCTTATATATTCGATTAACGTACGATGGGATCGTTCCAATGCGCCGTTAGATTGCGGATGGTACGCAGTGGTTTGGATTTTAGAAATTTTAAGTATCTTACAAGTACTTTTGAACATAGAACTAAGGAAGTTAGTGCCCTGGT